TCAAACTACTGAATTATTTAAATGTTACATTGTACATCCTCTGTGTACACAAACACACATTTGATTGGCCAATGTAGTCTTCTGCAAGATAATGTTACATGGCAGTACAACTAACGTTAACCTGAACGCAGCCTGAAGCAACTGACAGCTAAAAATAACACAATCACATGTTGAATGGTACATTTATTTATCCTATTGGTCCCCCCATAATCACCAAAAATATATTAAGATATATATAAGGGTTTTTTTGCAAGGCACAATCTTGAGGTGTATTGAAAATGAGCACCAAATACATCAAAATACTAAAGGAGAGATAAGTGATACATTTTGAGAGATAAACAGAGCCTGGTGCAGGGGTTTTCTTGGGAAATTCCCTTCTCCATTCTGGCACTGCTTTAATTTCCGTTTAATCCCAGGAGCAGGAGTTTAACGAACCATTTAATTGCAAAATCAGATTAAATCCCTGAAAGCCTTGAAATTACCTCTGTGTGAAGTGTTCCTCCGATGCTCAAGGCACACATATTACTGTCCCTAGTTACTTTTTATTGTAAGATCTCTGTTAGAAGAGAACAAGTCCTTGAGTCGTGAAATCCCACATCTTACATCTTTTATTCTTGTACACAGCCATAATCAAATGTGTTCCGCAACATAATTTGATTAAATAAATATGCCGGGCGGGCTTGTCTGTGCCATGCTATGTAATCAGGGGCGCTAGTTTAAAAGAGCATCCCTATAGGACACACATACAGTATGTTTAGATGTCACTGTCTGGTCCTGAGGCCAGCTTAGACAGTAAAATATGCCTTCCACTCAAGATTAGCACCGGCTAAAGGGCAGAAATCCTCCTAGTTGGCCTTTCTGGAGGTTGCAGACAGACAACAGACCATGCCCCAGTCAGTCCAGCCAATAATCCCACTGAGAGTCCCACAAAACCCTTACCCCTCAAGGTTCACATCTTGGATTATGAAGGTGACATTGGTCCATATAGAACAGGGGGCTGTACACGCCTCATTACAGAGAAAGCAGGATAAGACTAGATAGCTTTTAAATGTCTGAGCTGGGTGGCCTCACAGGTGCAGTCTGAGCATATAATGCTGATTTTCAAATGCAGCCTCCATGTGATTGATGTAAATAAAAGAAAATTAAAGACATCAGATAAGAACAGCAACCAACATTCCTGCAACAGTTCAACAGCCCAAATAGTTTTGCTATCTAGGACTCGGGATGAATAAGGTGGAGTGATAAAGTCATTAGAATGGCATGCCGCTGGGATTGGAGGACTGGTCTGGCCTAATGGGCAGTCTAAAGTGGTACCAGGCAGGCGGGCGACTGCAACAATGATTGCTGAGAGACCACAGACTGAGCATTAATGACAGAACTGCCTGTATTGGTTAGATGGCACTTCTTCCTTCATCCCTTTTCTCCAGGGAAACTCTGGTTACACCGCAGATGATGATGCAATATTCAGTCTTCACAACATCACAGGATCTGTTTGTTCTCTAAAAAACATGTGATATTAACAAGTGCTGATCAAAATGGAGCATATGAGACATTGTTTGCTTATTGGAATGCTTTGCACGATAATGAAAGAAACATTTCCAAGAAACTTCAAAGCTCACAAATGAACAGCCATGTTGAGTGCCATATGTGAAGTCTAATAATCTCCTGGGACAAAGCCTGAAGCCCCGACTATTGGAGGTTAATAAGGTTGATGGTTTAAAGACAAAAGACATAGAAAAAAATGGTTTTGTCTTCTGGACATTTGAACCACAACATTATCCGGAGAAAACAGTGTTGCTCTAAGGTCAAGATGAGAGCATACAGTAAGTGGCATTTTAATACCAACAGCTCACCCATGAAGCTATGCTAATGCTTGAAGGCTAATTAGTGTCAAAGCAATTACTGAATACAAAATGTGATTGAAAAGATGACTCACAACTCTTCACCTATCCTATTCAGCAAATGATGTGCTAAAATATAAGTCTAAGTAAGTGATAATAAGAAGTGTGAAAATAGAGGTCTTGACACATTCACAGCTGAAATGTGAAGTATGTCAAAGGTTTTTTCACAAATCCTAAACTATAACCACAATAATGTGAAAGTGAAAATCTGTTATATGATTTTTATATATTTTCTCTATCTAGAATGAACAGTAAATACTTTTATGGCATTATCACAAAGGTTTTCTCCACCCAATTCTCAAATGTTTAATGAACTGTTGAAGCTTACACAATGATGAAAATGAGGTTTTACACAGAATTATCCATTTATATACTTGGCCCTGGAGCAATAATATCCACTAGACAGAATTAATTGTACTTAACCACAGTTCCTTTGCATTTCAACAGATGTCTTAGAAACCTGTCTTGTTAAAGGAACAACATGTTGAGAAATGTTTAGTTACACAAATGTGTTATGACAAGTTGCTTTCAGATGCAATAGAGCATTTACCGTATCCTGCCAATGTAGAGCTGATGTATTAGCAGCACCTCTAGATTTGACCTAACAAGCCCGGGGTGTGGTTGTGTGGCACATAAATCTGTAATTTAGAAAAACATCTTCCTCATTTTGAAATATTATTTCCCACCCATGTTTTATTTGAAGTTTCACACATCAAGTTGGTCCCACACATTGCTAAGAAGCCATTTTGGAAGAGGAATTAGATGTGGATTAGCTACGTCAGCACATATACTGTATGTCAACTCTAAATCTACTGTCTCAGATTATTGCTTGCCCTTCCTATTGGATTAGGATTAAGGGTTTGGACAATGCAGAACAGAAGATTAAGGGACAGAAAGGAAGACAATTGTCGTGATAACTACTGAGACAAAGTTTACTACAGTAGGAAACACTATCTCCCTGTTCTCTGTGCTATGTTACAGAGTTGTCAGTTCTGTCCTATAGATAAGAGTAGTTTAGAGCTTTTTTGCTTTTTTAATGCTATTTTAAACCTTACTGGGGGGACAATAGTTTCATGATCATATAACAGGCTTGATGCATAGGACGTTGTTTGAAGAAACACACCTATTTAAAGATACACACGTCTGGTATTTAAAGAAGCTTCAGCTATCTGAACTATACTTGCTGTCAATGTTAAACATCTGCTGCCCTTTAACCTTTTCAACTTTCATTATCTTCTGTAGATTCTCAAAGAAAAGCTTGTGCAGATAAACAACATAAAGTATTCTCACCTTTTTCCAAAAGAAAAGTGGAGGCGCATTAGCAAACATGTCATATTCTCCGCAGAACTCAACACATTGCAGGTTTGAAGTCAGTGAGAGAACAAAATAAGTACAATCAGACATTACAGTATATAAGACAGGATTACACCTCTTGTTTTCTCATTAAGGCTACATTTTGAAGCATATGCCTTTATATATATCTGCACTACAGTAAGCTGAGGCATGTACCATGTCCTTGAGACATTTCCCTATAGAGGCACCTATGTCCCCCCCTCTCTCTCACTCTGTCGATTTCTCTCTTTCTTTCTGCATATCTTGCTAATGTCACATAAAGGCTAAACGATTAACCTCACAGAGTGATTTTGGAGAACTTGACTAAATGTTCATGTTAGAGTGGATGAATAAATTGCAACTTCTCGGCAGGAACAGGTCAAACATGTCAAACTCACATTTTGCATGAGTGACACTTTGTAACATAAAGGCTTTTCGTTGACATCATAATGAGGTGACATGTTCATCCCGCTGCCAGCACCCAATCTCCACGTTTCTGTACATCTGTTCTCCAAACCAAACACTGAGCTGCTGTATGATGTTTTATTTTCCTTCGCTCATATTCAGCGGCTCTGATTCTATTCCTGAGCGGTAGCTGCCAAGTGAATGTGTAAAGTCGCTTGATGCTGAGGGCTGCCAGGTGTCTTATTTTCATGTCTTGCCAACCTTCAAACAACAGCAGCCTCCTTTACAACAGCCTGGAGGGATGTGTGCTAACAGTAATTCCCCAGTTGGAAGCATAGCAATTACAGCACCCCTCCTCTATCCCTGTAATTGCAAAGGGAGCTGCTTCCTCAGTGATCAGACTAGCAGGCTGCCACCAGGGAGACTGGTTCATCACCTCTGGCAGCCCCAGGAAGATGAGGGTGTTTTGCTGGAGAGTTAAATAAAGGTTGTTTCGTTAATAGAGCGGGGTGATTCATATCTAGCTTGAACCGTAACCTTTTGCTCTTGATGATAGATGGGACAGGTTGCTTAGGGCAAGTACATAGACAACCTGTGGTGCTTCTCTTAAAAAATGACAGAACATTTTAACAGAAGATTAGCGAATGCTTCGGGGAACAAAAGCGAATGTGCATACGACTGTGAGTCTGTGACAGAATATTGCAGCAGCAGCATGTCATGGATCAAACACACGGACAGGGAAAATAGATCCCTGTTTACATGCACATAAACACAATTAAACAGCGGCTTGAAATCTGACCTCACTTCATATTATCGGCTGTGGAGTGTCAAGTGTCACCCAGTATTTTTCATATGCCTCACCATATGAGTAACCTGAATCTTGTGTTTTTCTTGGGGTCATGGCAACAAAAGCCGGGGGGGGGTGAATTAGACTCAGCAGTGCACCTTTGCCTGCAGGGATGCAGAACAGTATACAGGTAAGGTGGGGGTTGTTTATTTAATAAAGCCAAAGATAACTGTTAATGCTTTTGGTAACACATGTTTATTTCTTACTTCATAAAAATGACATCACCGCACCTATTAATCAATTTCTCAATCAAACCTGCTTCATTTAAAGTTTGTATACTGTAGCAATGCATACAGCGAAGTAATGCAGCGGGGTTACAGTACATCATTACACAGATGACGTCTGTTAAAATGCTTACAAATGTATTTCGGTAAAGATTGAATAAAACTCAACCATACATGACATTTAAGCGAGGACTTTGGCCCAAGGTAGGTTATTTTATTCTTCTTTAGCGACTGAAAGTAAAATACAGAGATGCTTATTTCAGCTGGTGAATCATGGGTAAGGGCATCATTAACACATCAATTATTACCTGTGGTAAAAAAAAAAAAAAAAGTCTCTGCAGGATGATCCATTAGAGCCATTTCAGTACAGATCAATGAATGTGATCAAATCATATTAATCATTTTCTTTTATAAAAAAATCAATAAATGACTAGGCATAATGAATCCTACGCAAGAGACTTTTGGATTAAACCTCTCAAAACATTCCTCTGTAGGAACCATATAGAGTCAAAACATTGCATTGGAATTATATGTTATTATATTTATTTGAAGTTGGCTCAAGGGTCAACCATAAACTTATTATCATTAATGGATCCATGTCTTATTGCGTTGTGGAGAAATCAAGCCAATGCCATCACTCAGGTCTAATTGACATGATGAGGAGCTATTACTGTATTGATCCACCTGGCAAGTGGCACTGGATCAGCTGAGGCCTGTATCGACCTGACTAAGTGGGTCCACAGACCTCTGAGGGTCAGGCAAATGTTAAGGGGATATTACCAGTTGTTTGTAAAGTTAGATCTCGTTCATCTTAAGGAAAAGCAAAAGCAGCATTTGGAAAAGTAAAAAATAGGGGGGTTTGAAGCCAAGAAAAAGAGTCATTCTGTAAAAAGAAAGGATACCACCCTTACGCATAATACCCGTAAAAACATTGTGCTTTTAGAATAATGTTAATGTACTCAAATAATAATTAAAACTTGATCATGAAATGTTGGGTGGGTCATGAATAAACCTGGTTAGGCAGCTAAGTGAGTTAATATCATAACAATAAATTATCATAAAATAGACTTCTGAACTTTTTACACATCCACCAAATACTGTACACACACTGTATAACAATTTCTCCAGAATGAAACACAGACAAGGGACCAGCAGCAGTTATTCATCATAGTTTCCCTCTCAGTCCCAGCCGAAATCATGGCCGGTCATTCGGTAAAACTGTCTGTTGTAGGGTTTATAAAAGTCTCTTAGCCTCTGGACCACCTCTGAGTCAATATTAGGATGGGTCCTGCCTTTGGTTTTCCCCAGGCAGTGCGGCTTGCTGTTCCCCTCTGGTCTCTTAAGGCAGGGGAAGCCCTTTGCTGGGTTAAAGTGGAAATGCTTCTCTGTTACCACCCTCCTGAGCCCAAGAAAGTCCTGGACGCGAGCGATCTCACCTGCGGGGTCGCTGATCAGACGCTCTCCGCTGACAAACAGCAGCTGCTCTGTGGGGAAGTACTGGAGCCAGCGCTCGAGGTGCTTTGCATACATGCCAATTTGAACGGCGCTCCATGTGGTGTCGATCAGACCCGCTGAGATGTTCTTAAAGGTCAGGCTCTCGAAAGACGGGATGTCCGGCTTCTTGGAGCGAGTCTGGGTGTAGTCTGAGATAGCCCGGGTGACAGGATCCCGGACCACCACAATAAGCTTTGTGTCTTTAGACATGGTGTAGATTCTTTCGGGGACCTCCTTGGTGACATAGTAGCTGGGGGTCTTCTCCATGGTCAACTGGCCTTCTGATGACTTTGGCATTAATTCCCTGCAAAAGAACACAAACAAACTTATTTAAAATGTGTGTTGCAGGTATTCTATGGCATGCAAAACCAACTCTGTACACTGTCTTCTTTCCACTTACATTTCCCAAAGATATTGAAGTGACTGCCATTTTGTATATATTGATTGTTGTGCTTTTATTTATGTCTTAATGTCTGCATATGTATAAATGTGTCTGTTGATTGTGTGTAGCTATATACATATTTGTATACACATGTTTATATATATATTAGTATTTTTGTATTCGGGATTGTGGGAAACGGTATTTCGATCCCTCTGTCTGTACACACAAACGGAAAGATTGACAATAAAGTTGACTCTGACTTAATTTTGACTTGACAATTCAAAAAAGGTACCAACCCACAAAAGACACATAGAGGGAGATGAGATAAACTTTGATGCAGTAGCTCCATGGCAGGTTTAAAGTACTGTCAGGCTGAAGCAAGTCAATCATCATCATCAAGAAGACACTTGAAGACATCATGAGCAACATTAACAGCCCGTGAGTGTACTAAAAGTGACAGGGCCTGGTAGGTAAATCTGGGGTGCTATCAATCACTGGTGACAATGCACAGTTCATGCCTTATTCCAAAAAAGAAACCCTGAAGGAATACATTCATCTCCTGCTGCTGAATTTAATCTACCTTAAGACCTCAAGCCTCTTCAAACCCCACAATCCTCACATTGAAATATTCCACACCTTCATTACATTATACAAAGGGCGGTTTAACTGTGAATAGGCAGAATTATGCTTCTTAACGTCATGCCAAGACATATGACAGCGACTGCACCTTTCTCTTCATACTTGTCTGTAATGTTTTGTGAAATGTGAAGATTTGGAGGATTTGGAGCATTTCTCAGGAGAAAATGCAAAGCTTGGGAGCTGTCTATCCCCATAACTGCATATTCTTCTTGACCCTGGACGTCTCTGGTTGATCATAATATAGCTTGTTAACTGCAGCCCTGACTGGATAATGGCTAAAGTGAGCCAAGGGGGATTAGGACTAAGCCAAACACGCTGGAGCATTAGAGGCTGGTTGACTGTCTTGTTGGCTGGCTGGGTGGCTTGTCTCGGGAGAGAGAACGAGAGAGATAGATATGTGGCCACGATGATGAGACTCAATGGTAAGAAGTTAATCCATGAAGAAATACATGTGATCACACAAACTCCTGTACAGCTGCATGAAACCCAAATGTTGTTTTTTCAAGACTGTGTCGGAGCGGCCCGCCTCTACGCAAACTGCATTTTATATGAAATGGTTTCACATCCATTCCAACAATATAACAATGTTATTCAATCCACCACAGACTGCATACTAAAAAATTAGACTAACCGAGTATTGACCTATTTACAGTGTAAACCGGGTAAAATGAAATAATAAACTCATCACCAGCTGAGAACACTTCCGCATGTTACTACTCTTGTTGGGGACGGATGCTTGTGAACACAACATCCCTCATACATGTTTTATTGCCTTGCATAGAAGAAAAATATGAGATTCACGCACTCAGGAGATTCAAGAGATTTATTTATTATCTGCATCAAACTCACATTTCAGTCCCTGCAGTTCTTATCTCTTACAAATTCAACCAAAGCCTTAAAAGTAAAAGTAGTGTGCAGAAATATTGCTTCCTGCTAAAGATGGAAATTAAATATACGCCATTATTCAGAAGCATCAGCCTCCCAAACATACCTCATTATAGTGTAAATCAGTCAACTGTAAATCTTAAATAATGAAAGAATTTGGTAATATTCTCATGTTTTGATGGTAAGCTTTTCATCTAAATCGAACAACGGGAAGCGGAGGAGTCATTAAAGTTATTAGAATCATTTTCAACCATATGTTGGTACACTCACAAGGAGCATTAATATCTCTCCCCGAACCCAGCAGCTTTCATCTTACAAATGCATGTGGTGAAAACAAGCAGAAAATGGTCTTTGCTGAGCAGAGCACTGGGAAAGAGCTAATCATTATGGGGAAATTATGCATCACCCATCGCTCATTAGTGCACACAAGAGGTTCCCTTACTTATGCAATTTCACCACCTTCTGCTCTTTCCCATCTTTGGAGGCCTGAGGCTCTACACATGTATTCTTCTCCCTGAGTGTCTTAGTCACCATTGTATGTGGTGGAAAAAACACACACCTCGTCAATGTAATAGGTGTGTGAGACACAAACAAATCCATCAGAACCCACTTCAATTATCCTCAGCATCTCTTGGATACACACAAGTGCAGCACTGTAGGCCTGTCCTCAAGGGACATACAAACTTACTACCAATCAAACGTTCCACTTAGTCCCCGAGCAAAACAATCTGTGTAAGAAGAACATGTATTATTCATCTTACCAGAGATAGAGCAGGGGAGGACATCTCTTACTGAACGAGGAGGGAGAGAGTTGCCTTAGGGGGGCAGATGTAGCAAGCTTTCACCATTTGTTCTGCTTAATAAACAATGTCGCCTGGAACCAATAGGTTTCAGTGCATCCTCATCTATCAATCAGCCATGGAAACGCGTCATCATTCAGCTTTAAGGTAGTACAAAAAAAGCAGTCCTTTATCTAGAATTAAACCACAGCGAGCTGACTTTTACCCCTTCACAGATGAAGCATGTTTGTATTGGACTTCATAATGCTGAAAACACATAACATCTAATTGAGCTCTAAAGTCATAAAGCCAGGAAGCTTCTTGAGTGTGTACCTATACTTAGTGCACTAAAATGAATCTATATTGATGCTTGGGCATACAGATAACCCTCCTCTGCTCTAACATGTCGTGTTAAACTCACATGAGAACAGCAGGGTCTGAGGAGATAACAGAGGGAGGCTGAGAGGAAGACTGCTATTAGAATTAGATAAAGCAAGAGAGGAAGGACTGGAATGAGCAAAGAGAGGATTAGATGGAATCAGGTGCACTGTTGGAGGATGGAGACAGCATGGTCGACCCCCCTGACCCAGAAGCCTAAGTCGAAGTTTTAAGTCGCTGGCCACTTTGGATGCTGTGTCAGCAGTTTCCTGCAGCGGAAGCACAATAATATCACCCTCACTGCAGATATAAATCCAGGAGCAGTTTGTTGCGTAATCTTTCTCTGTTTTGTCTGCTGGGCAGTCAGGTGTGTTCATTAAACTGGCTGCTGGGGAGACAGCGTTTGAAATCTGTTGCCTTGTTTACATTTACCGTTATCAGGAAACAGGTTCAAAGGTAAGGAATTTACAACGTTGCTGCGTGTGGATTTGTGCTCGACTGATGGATGATGCCCTCAATGATGAGTTCACCGGAGTAAGTAAGGTGAAGAAAACTCCCCAAAACTTTTTGTATCCTGCAGAATTCGGCCTGACTGACTCTAATTGGCATCTATATTTCAGCTTTTCAGACCACTGTGACAAGGGACTGCTCCGGATAAAAACTCAGCATTATCTAATGTCATGATGAGTCCTAATCTCACACTGCAGCTTTAAGAGGGGTTGAGCTACTGTGGGAAACATTTTCAAAGACAGGATGAGAGGTGGTGGTATGCAGCCACTTGTACTAATCAGACAGTATACTGTGGGATGAGTTCCAGACAGAAATAAAATAAAGAATGTATCTTTAGTGGAGGCGTTTGTGGTCCTCGCAGCTCATCTTATCATGCGTGTGAAAGTCATCACCATCTCGCCTTGAACTCAGGAACTTCTCATATGAGGTCCAACAGCGCTCAGTATCTCAACAGCATTCCTGAACAACAATGATTATTACCGTCAGTATGCAGAACTCAAGGCCACCTGGCTGCATGGGGAAACAGGCCCAGTTTGAAGAGAGGAAGAGGAGGAGGAGAAGGAAGAGGATAAAAAACAGTGTGTGGGAAATTCCGGCTTCCCCCACACAACTGTCAGACTAACATTGACACATAACTATTTGGAAAGTCGCATTAAGTTGTGTATGGAACCTATTTTTCAGGGTTGTATGGCTGAACAACATAAACTGAAAATGCCAAACCACTAACATTGGATTTGTGATGACGATCCATATTGAATGGAATCAATATCAGCATGTATGGATGTTTGAGGCTATTGAATTAAAAACTGTGTTAAAAGACATATTTAGTGAATTTAAGAGAAGCTTAGCCAAATGGTGCAAAAAAAGTGTCATTACAATGAGTTTCCCTGTAAACAGTTTGTTTATGTCTGCTTCCTTTCCGAAAGACAACTCAGGGGGGGAAATTACCAGGTGTGACTCTGACTTTAAAGATGAGGACAAATATTTGCACTATTTTTATACACTCCAGATGAAGCTGATACATTGCGTCATATAGTCTAATTATATCAATTGAGTCTGAATACAAGATTAAATGGAAAAAATCTGAAAGTTAGTAGTGAGGGAGAATCAGTTTGCCTGACCTTTTCATTCCAGCAGCACTATCACCAGAAACCTCAAAATTGGCATTAAGAATGCCACAAAGTACAAAGGAAAACTGAATAAGTGACTTCAGCAAAATGCTGAAAGACATCAGCCTTGTCGAACAATGACTAACCAATGTAATTGTGTGAGCTTAACTACAGTTTCTTGGAATAAAGTGTTGGACAAGTTCTGAACGAACAAAGGAACGAAAACTGCCTTCTGAGAAAAAGTGAAAGAAACAGCTAGCCTAGAAAGAAAAGAGAGCAGGTGACTAACGCAAATGTATTCCTTTGACCAAATATGGTTATATATATATAAAAAAAACAATGTAAAGTAATAATGTAATTTTCGACTACATTCTGGTACTAATACAACAAATAATGTTGTTGTTATACAGTTAAGAGCAAAGTGATGCTAGTCAAAACATTTGGTCGACTACAGACGGTAATTTTTCGAACACATGTATTTCACTTTAATATAAACATTGGCATTAATTACTTTGTCAAAACATCCGCAATTATAATGTTAGAGTTTTATTAAAATAGAATTAGATGATCAATTCTTTGCATGAAATGTGTCTTTCCAACATATAGAATGATTGGTACGGTTGGGTAATTCCCAACAGATGCATGCTGGTCTCTTAAGGGAACTGCAAACGCAAACAAGACTTCAAAGAAGTAAACCAAAGATGGCTGAGGCAGATTGCTGCTAAAGTTGCTCTGACATGCTGTCAGTGAGTCTCTGCTGTGAAGAGAAAGATGGAAGCAGGAAACACATTCTCTCCGAAGATACTACAAAAGGGAGAGATGAGGAAGTCAACAACTCAAGGGGATATTATGGAGTGAACTTGTTTTGTTTCAGCATTTCCAAAGTGCTGTAATAAGTGCTGTGGTTTGACAAATTGCTTCAAGCTAAAGCCCAGGGGGTTGTTGCAGCAAATTAAACCTTCAATCTTCAGAATAGGGAGGGGAGATGCACATTAACAGTATAACAGTATTGACAATCGAGTGGATTAATTCTAGAAGTGCTAGCATCATTTAAGTCTATCAGTGGAGTCTGAAATTGCAAGGTTTTACGGCTTTTAGAAATGTTTTAGGAATGTTTGAAACAACAGCTAGCATATGTGAATGGTTTCTTTGAAGCATCTCATTATTGACGCACATTTCCCTTCTTTTCCTGTCAGTGTGCTGACACATTAGTTTAAGCTGGGGTTTATACGTATATCTAGAGCTCTCTCACTTACATCGATCCCCCTGTGTTCTCGCAAAGGGCTAAAAGTGTTGAGTAAGCAATATTCCACCAGTGGACTTAATTGAACCTTCTCTTGGGAAAGACACAACTTTCCACACAGAGATCTGTGAAAAGTCAACTTTCAGGATAGAAAACTGAAGCGTTTGAGTCTTTTCTTGGGCAGGTTCCAATGAATGCTCTTTCTGATGAACTCCTGCTGGGCATCGTCAAAGGGCACTTTCACCCTTCTGAGCACATTTGCATACAAAGTGAAGGCAGAGAAAACATGTTTCACACTAATTGTCTGCTCCTTTATTGTCAGGGTTAATACAGACCTCAGGGGTTCTCCAGCATCCCCTTTCATTGAGCTCCATAATACTGTTGCGCTTTCTAAAGACTCACTTTAAATTTACTGCCCTCTATCTGCCACTGGCCGGCAGTAAGCTTCCCTGGGGCTTTGAGGAGGATTAAGGCCTTCTTCTCTGACACCCTCAGTGAGTTAAGAAGGCTGTTCTTTGTTCTATATACGAAGCCTCAAGAGGAAAAACACAATCTCTGCAATAAAGTCACATCTAGTGTATATAACACAGAGGACCTTGATTTGAGCATGCATTCAGCAAATGAGCATTAACCTGCCAAAATAAGACCTACGGGAGGAAGTTATTAGAGAAAAGGCAGGGCCAAGGAGTTGCTGCCTTCTGTGTGAGCGAGCACAATTGTCTGCCTGCTTCTCCGTTTCTGCTGATGGCTGACAACGTGCTGTATTGTGGTGGGGGTCCCGCTGTGCAGGGGCCTCTCCGCTATGTGGGGCCTCCAGCAGGATGGACACAGCAAACCTCCAGCAGGACGGACACACCACTCACAGGAGATAAATAGCATGGACACAACTCAATGCCACCACAGGAACTGATAAGCCCACCCAGCGGACTGCTCCTCCCCCCCAGCTTCTGCACACCATTGGTCTGGGGGCAATGATGTGAAACATATGGGAAAACAAATCCACACACACCTTCAACTGGCTTTATGCCCTTAGCTTATCTTCAAGAGTGACTACTGTGCTGACAGGTTGCAGGACTAGGATTTCAACAGGCTTCAGAAAGATGCGCCATACTGCAAAAATACCATTTTATAAATGTTTACTTAGTAAGCCAACAAGTAGGTACAAACAAAATCTCCACTATCCACCACAAAACCCAGGTGAGGGATTCTTTCTGAGCTTCACTAAATGATCATTAAAGAGATGACTCGTTTCGTGGTGCTCTGCAGAATGGGGTCAATCTTTGGCACAGTGCTCTCACTGTGACAACTCAAGCCAAGTTGTTTTAATTAGCCAGATCACTTCTCTGGGAGAGGAAGTCTTCATTATACATGTCTCAAGATTAAATCGTTTCCATTATTCACAAGCTGCCACTGTGAACAAGTCACTAGCATGTCTCAATTATATACAACCGCTTCTTTGATTGTTATATAACATTTCATTGCATCTTTAATGATAGCTTCTCCTCCTTCTCGGACATTACTCATTGTTAACTTGCATCGCTTACTCGTGCATCACATGTATTGTACAAACAGCATGAGACTTTGTGTGATAAGTAAAACATCTTTATGGAAAGGACAGTTTTAATGGGTTCATCTTGCTCAGTCTGTAGGGATGGACACAAAGACCTCTCTCCACACACTGATCATCCAAAAATGTCCTAAACCTGTCCGGAAATTCTTAAAGGGGCTTAAGCGAGAAGTCCTTTGAACAATGCTTCACTTCCCCTATTGTAGCTTTATGAAGCCTGCTTTGAAACAGTGTCTAGATCCTTTGACATAGCCTGTTAATCCCTCGGCTCAGTCTAATGGACGCAGCATATCTTATTAACAATGTGGACGCTCTGATGTAAAACAATTATTGCAAAACCTTTTTCTGGGAACATCATAGGTACATATAAAGATCAATAATTTCTGTGAACTTAGTGAGTTTGTGATTTATTTCCACTAAGAGCAGCAAGTTGTGTAACTGTGCAGCTGAGTCAATAGTAAAGAGCTTTCTTATTGAGATAGTGAGGCGTGTATGGCACAAGGACAACAGTTGCCATGGCAGGGAAAACAATAAAAATGTTACGTCACACAATGTTGAATGTGTAAGCCGTCTCAGGTGCTAGATCTCTCCCTTTGACATTGACGTATATTTGATTTGAAGATCAAAACAAATTACTGCTACTGAATCAATACACAATAACTCTTAATCTTGAATAACGCTCCTGGCTGCTCTAGGGTGACGGCATGATGCAACTTGCTGAGTCTTAACCACAAACCAGGGGTTGTTTTTCTTTCTTTAACTACATCAATAATTCAGGTCAAATCTAAATGGAATCTCCGCTTAACCTTTTTCTACCTGGTGCCTCCTACTTGTCAAAAAGCAACAGCAACTCCACATCCAAGGACGGATTTAGAAACATTCCAGGAACTTTGAGTGAAGGCCATGCAAACAAGCAGAAAATCAATTGTGCTTTGCATGTAAACATGACTGATAAGAGTTGCATAAAATGCCAAACTTTATACAATTGTTGTCAGGTAGTGTTGACACCTATGTCAAGTATGCTGACATTCTATGGTTGATTGCACCTGCAGATGTCAAACTGTATTATTAACATGCAAACTGTGAACATCCTAAATTGGAGTTTAAAGTCACCTTTAGTTTACTGTCCTTTTTTTAATTGACATAAAATACAGTATACATTACACTTTACTACAAAACCGTAATATACTATTAGATGAGCATTCTTTAAAGTCTTATGAGGTTTTACTTATCTACCATAATATTTGCATTTGTCAGTATTAGGAAATGTCTTTAATTGCATTGCAAAGTTTCATTAATGTCTCACTTTTTAAAGCTTTTATTAACTTATGTTATCACCTTGCAGTAGTCTTGAAAATTGACTACAATATGATCCTATTCACCACCGGATTAACACATGTATGTTCTTACATTTAATTCATACTTATATCATTGTAGTTGAGAACATGTTACAAGACATATCAAGGTAATGCAATGCTGTGCTATGGTATAATAAGGGAAAACATGACTTTATAGGAGCAATGACACATTTATTTTAATTATTTGACTTCTTATTCATCTTTTTGTATTCTGACATACTGTTTTGTGGTTTCATAAGGTTACATCATACAAATAATAAGTAGATTAAAGTTGGATTTAGATTCCAGAGGAAGAGTAAAGATGTTTGTGTTTTCATTTTGTAAAATAGTTATGTTCCCAAATAGCCTATGTGGCACAAGATGCAGAAGTCCTTTTATTTAAACGGGTAAATTATGCAAAGTAGAGTTTACTCGGCCATCTATATCTGGATTAGTATACATAAACAATGTTATACCTGTACCACTCCAGTCCCTTGTCGTAGTTGCGGTCGAAGAAGTGCGGCTCTGCTCCCACCGCTCGGATGTCTGGATGAAGGCGCAGAAACTCCAGCAGCGCCCGGGTCCCTCCTTTCTTCACCCCGATGATGATCGCCTGGGGCAACTTTTTACTTTCCGACTCATTGAGGAAACCTGACATGGCATTATCGTCCAACGCCTTCGCCTCGCCTCTAATTTCATCCCACTCATCTCCTCTGCTGTCCAAATCATTTTCGTTGTTCAGTAGGTCCCTGGAAGCCCCGACAGAGGAGTCCTGATTGTCAATTTCTGAATCGTTCTCGTGTCTGTTTACCGAGCGGTACGTCAGGTTAGGCACAGTTGAGCAGTAGCCAACACAACAATAAATCATATACACCCAGAGGGACAGCATTATGCAGAACACAAATAGTTTGTTTTTCACGTGGGATGATGGCACAACATGTAGATTGTGTAAAATCGGACTATATTCCATAGGACCACCGAGACAAAGTTATATTCCAGTTAACAGGCATTTTGACAAAGGTGCCTCACTCCTCGGATCCTGGACAAGCGGTGCACAATTTCCCAAAACACAAACTATAGCCAACATTCAAATTGAAATTGAAATGTAGGTTACGCCGGACGTTCAGCCCCTGCATTGGCTTCAGTTCTGTTTGGAGAATATTGAATGTTCAAATTCTTCATAGAAACGGGAAAATAAATCACAAAACAGGTAATAAAGATATCGCCAGGTGAGCAATGCGCGCGTCAGGGACGAAGTTTGCCTCCCATCACTTGCTCTCAGTGTGTGTGCACTCTCAGAGGAGCACCAAGTTATCTACACCGGGCAACAGCATCAAGTGTGCCAGATTATGAAACACTACTTCCGGTATGGTCCTTCGAAGTAAATCTGGTGAAAACGTACGAAAGGCTCTGCGAACAAAAAAAATTCATCCAAGTCCTACGAAAATAAGCATATGGGCCTTACAAAACTTGTATGTTTAAAGTTATTTCGTATGTTCATATACTCCATGGCCGAAATGTACTGACATGATGTAGTCTGTTCTGTACAAAATACTTACTAACATCATTTTTATTTTGAAAGCAGCAAAGCTTCCGGTAATGTCTCTGTTTGCATACACAGATGTTAAAATCTGAGACCAAAGGGCGAATTACAGTGGAGATACTATTCCTCCAATTTGAGCATGATTACAGTCTTTTTTATGACTGTAATACAAACATTGTATGACTTTACAAACAAAGAGGTACAAATGTAAAATATATATTTTTATATTTAAATATGATTGAATAACCAATACATCAGAAAGTCAAGGGAAGAGAAAACGTCTATTTTATAACAGGAAAATAAAGCATTTTGAGTTTTAAAACTTGAAATCGATCATCCAAAAAGTCTCCATTTATTTGATACAAGGCTGGACGGAATTCCTGTGTTTTGAATGTTGGTTACAAATTGGAAATCAAATAATTTTCGAACTATAAACAAAATAGAGAAAAGAGAATGTCTTTGCCCAGACTCTTGAACTTTTGAAAAAGAACAAAAAAGTATCCCCAAACAACTGACATATACTTGTGTTGAATCAGTTAACAGCACCCAAACATCAGCTACAGCAGACAAATAAATGACATGACTTGTAAATATCTGTCACGGATCAGCTGTTTCCTTTAACAGCTTCACACTTTTTCCTGTTGCTACAGGCTGAATGGTTGAGTGGGTCCAGGCTAATTGGCATCATAATCCTTCGTAATTGCCCTTGTTATCATTCCAAACAAAGTGAACATACCGTTCCACATAAACAAATGTTTTCAGTGCATTTTGGGGAATCTATAAAAGTTAATAATTTACTCTTGAGGGGGTGGTGATGAAGATTTGTCACCAGGACTTTTGAAATGCCACCAAAGGTTTGCTCTGAGGGTGTGTGTGTGTGTGTGTGTGTGTGTGTGTGTGTGTGTGTGTGTGTGTGTGTGTGTGTGTGTGTGTGTGTGTGTGTGTGTGTGTTGGCACCTCCTCCCGATGCAGGGTCAAAGGCCTTTAGTCCCACTGCACCCCTGAGCTAGCAGAGGATTAGCAGGATTACCCCAGAGCTGCCATGTCAGTCAGAGTTTCACCAGAGACAACCCTGCCCCCTTCATCTAATCCCCTTATCTCATCTCTCAGACACCACTATGTATGATATATATGTAGTGTGTGTGTGATTTCTAATCCTAATAGTTGCTTTTCCACAGTGCACGAGCACAAGATAACCTGTTAGAGAAAATGTGCGGATGCCAAGGGGTTTGGTTTTTGCTAACCTGTCGTGGTATGCCCTTTCTGCTATGTATACAGACAATATTTGTCTTTGCAATGTGTACTTGTCACTCTCTGGGTGGAGGTTGAATGTTTGAGTTCAAGTCTTATTAGAGAAAAAAATAGCGTTTCCAGCGTTTACAGGAAGTAGTCATTTATATGTGGCCATGTTTCCACAACACTTTATCCTAGAGCTCATAGTATAAGAACACTTGCAGTAAATAAAATCAGGGCCGTTTCTAGCTTTTTGGGGGCCCTATGCAAGATGCTGTTTGGGGGCCCTAGTTTTTACAGTTTTTTAACTACAATGGGGGGGATTCCGAAGCCTTTAAGATGATCTGTGGAGATGCATCAATCTGTTACACTTTAATAGGAAAACAGACTAATTTCACGAGAACCAAGCAATTGAAAATTACAAAAAATGATATTAAAAAGGTTAACAATAAGGCTCCTCTATGTCAATAAATGCAAGAGATGCAGCATTTTCTCAACAATGTTTAATTTACATTTTTCATCTTCCTCAAACGTCACTCATTGGCTGACAGCCCAACAATGATTTGGACTTTATTACCCCAAAAACACAAGCCACAGCTTTGCTATCATTGCAGTTTAGTCGTTTTTATGTACACATTGGATTTTTAAGCATATAATGCTTCACCAAACACAGGAGGGGGCTTGGCTGTCTACAAATAAAGACGGCTCATTTGAATTCTCCCCAAATATATTGAGGCTGAACCTGAACTTTGAATTCTCTGCTCCCATCATAATCTTGGCGATCTTGTTAAAATTGTGAATGCAGAATTAGAAATACTATGTAACTGGTTTGCAGTTAATAAATTATCCCTTAATGTGGCCAAAACTAATTACATGTTATTCAATACAAAGTCTGAGAGTAGAAATGACTGCATTATACGGATTTGCAATACGGAGATAGAAAAAGTTGGTGCATGTATTTTTAGGACTGCTTGTTGACGAAAAACTCAATTGGAAGCACCATATAAATTATGTACAGACAAAAAAAAGTATTACGAATAGTCTGTGGTGTTGGTAAATATGAACACACAACTCCCATATTTAAAAAAACTCAATCTATTAAATGTGTTGACATAGTACAGCTTAAAACAGTACTGGTTATGCACAACATTTTCCATAACAAAATGCCTAATAATATTCAAAAGCAGTTCCAAACCACTCATCACTGAGCGATAAGAACTTGCGACATGGGAAACAAACAGACATCACACAACGTAGCATTACGGAGCAAACACGGGAGAAATTCTTACCTCTGCAGTTGTTCTGATCAAAGGTTGTGTTCAATGGCATTAAAATGATAAAAACGCTGCTGAAGGTTAATCCATAGGTTAATCCAATGTGTCTGTGTCACTTTGAAATTATTTCTGATAATCAATCTTCCTATTTACGTATGTCAATAACGGAGATTTCATAATAGGCTTGTTTGAGACAAGCGAGACCTGCGCAGACCTGCGCAGTTGCGATCAACGTCTTGCTAGTGCATTGCATGATGGTTAGTCATTCTGTCCGACTTGCTCTGGAGGCTCGCCTACATGAGACGTTGAAATCTTGCGGGACAAAGACGCCCGCAGCCTTGAGAGCGAGGCGCGGCGGCGCAGTTCTTCTCCACGGGATGCGGAAGCGAAATGCTTGATGGGAAACGACTCGCTGGTATCTCGAGCTGAGCGCTCATTGGTGGTTTTTACCACGAGCTGCTGATGAAACTCTCCAATTGGCTTGGCAAAAGTTTGTTGTTGTTTTGTCTCAGTTTTACGTCGCCCCTTCCATTAACATTTTTCATCATTGTTCCACAATGTTTATCATCATGAAGTTAACATCCATATATTTTATACTATACTTGCACTGCTTACCGTTTCCATACTTTATATATCTTAGCATATTCATACACACTGTTCATACTGCTCACAGGCTGCTGTGTATATCTAGTGTATTCATACCCCTCACTGTTTATTCATCATTCAATTCATTCTATATTTTATTCTGTAGATTGTGTACATTACTTTTCACTTTACTGCTTGTTGCACTCCTGGTTAGAAGCTAAACTGCATTTCGTTGTCTCAGTACCTGTAATATGTGCAATAACA